CTTTCTGATTATTGTCACATATATCATAAACATACTTCCATGTCAGTAAATTTTCCCACTTGCTACATAATACTGTGTCTGGGTCTGACATTTGTTAGGGCTTAAACTTAGAAAAGTAATTAACATCTTTGGATTTTTTTCCTCTCATCTGTCAAATGTGGATGACAGTAGGACCTATCTCATAGAGGTGAGCTTGTGAAGAAATTTGAGTTTTTGCCCGTTTAGATCTTTTAGAACAAAAGAAAAAGTCCTGGGATATTTTGGGAGCAAGAAATAAATTCTTGTGGGAAGTTGGCAGCTGGGATTATTGAGTAGTTTGTGGCAAAGAATTTTTTTCCCCAGTGATTAATAAAATAGCCAGTGTCTCAGTTCTCTTGGCTGGAAATCGTACGAAGCAATTTCTCCTTTGTCTGAGAGCACACGTTGTATTATGTCCAGTGTGCACTGGCCCTGGATCTCTCCTTGTATTTTGTGACTTCGGTGCAACTCAGGGCCTCAGTGGCAGTAGAGTCCTTGAATCAGAACCAGACACAATGGAAAACCATGTAGCAGGTGGAAACATGGAAGGCTGTCTGTGATAAATACAATGATCATAAGAAATTTAGTCGTGATCCTTCGTTTTAATATTCTGCCTTTGAGTGTGGTTTCTGTGTCCAACCCGGGCAGCCAGGTTGGGTGGGGTCTGAGTCACTGGTTCATTGCTCGCTTGGGCATGTTTTTTTGGTTTGTTTTACGTATAGATCTCTACTGTTATTCAGAATCTTTTCCATTATAGATTATTACAAGATATTTGGTACAGTTCCCTGTGCTGTACAATAGGTCCTTGTTGTTTATCTGTTTTGTGTATAGTAGTGTGTGTGTATGTTAATCCCAAACTCAAAATTTATCCTCCACCTTCTTTCCCTTTGGTAATCGGGTCTGTTTTAAAGGAATTGATTCCCTAAAAGGAGAGTACAGATTCAGGTAGTAAAATATTTTCCCAAATCTGCTGCACTTTGCTTTAGGCATTCTGAAACCCCATAACCTCTCCCATATACAGCTAGATTGCTTTCAACACTTACCTAGTGGGAGACTACCCAGAGTCAGGCTATTGCATCAAAAGGCTATTGCATCTGTTCTGTATATGGTAGGGAACATACGTGTTTAACAGATTGGTTTTCCAAATCATTCAAACATTGTAAATTTAATTAAATATGTTTTTGAATCAGTACAGTATCATTTTCTTAATTGCTTTAAGCTCCTTTTAAAAGGCTCATGGTGTGAGAATTTCCGGATTGATCAATACATTTTAATGTGCTAATATCATCAATTCATATTTCTTTATTGTCTCTATTCTTTTTATTTCTTCCTGGAAATACAGTTTTATTTCCCTATTCTCAAGAGTCAGGATCACCTTTTCAGACCTAAAGATGTTGCATAAAGGAGTTGATGGTCAGAAAAGTAGGCTCCAGAGTTGCTTACTTACTTGGGCTTTGTACACCAACCATTTACTCTTATTTCCCAAAATTATACACCTCAGAGAAGGGAGAGCACAGAAGGGGAAAGATGAGAGGAGCTCAGAAAGCCAGCTGTTCAAGTACCTTAGTCCCGACATTTGTGCCGTAAAACATTTAGTGTCCTGCAAAGCCCAGGACTCGGTGAGATAATTATCAAGAGGTATGCTGTTACAGATCTGAGGGGTGTCAGAAAGTTTGTCTGCCAGCACTGGCCTGACATTTCATTGCTAGGGATTTGTTTCTTTAGGTCAGTTTTGTTCTTTAGAAACCACCTGTTAAAACAATGAAAATTCCACTTGTTGATATCTGCCATAGAGAAATTGCACTTGTGCACAAGGACTGTATTTGTAATTAAGGACAAATTGGAACCAACCCAAATATCCAATAGTAAGGGAATGACTTGACTTGTGGTTTGTTTGTGTTAGAGATCTGTGCTATTCATAGCATGGTAGTCAGTAGGCAGCATCAGTGTCATTGGGAGTTTTTGAAATTAGTTCTTAGGCTCCACCCCAGACCTCTAAATCAGAATTATCTGGGGGTGGGTCCCAGAAGTCTATAGTTTAACAAGCTCTCTTGGTGAAGCTCTTTTTTTTTTTAATAAACATCTTTTTATTGAGTTATAGTCATTTTACAATGTTGTGTCAAATTCCAGTGTAGAGCACAATTTTTCAGTTGTACATGAACATACATATATTCATTGTCATATTTTTCTCACTGTGAGCTACCACAAGATCTTGTATATATTTCCCTGTGCTATACAACATAATCTTGTTTATCTATTCTACATATGCCTGTCAGTATCTACAAATTTTTGAGCTCGCAATCTATCCCTTCCCACCCCCTTCCCCCTTGGCAACCACAAGTTTGTGTCCTTTGCCTATGAGTCTGTTTCTGTTTTGTATTTATGGTTTTTGTTTTGTTTTGTTTTGTTTAGATTTCCACGTATGAGCGATCTCATATATTTTTCTTTCTCTTTCTGGTTGGTGAAGCTCTGAAGCTTCCTAAAGATTGAGAAATTCTGATATCCAATACTACTGGCCAGTTAAAGTATGCAGTGTATATGCATATTAAATGAATTTGGTTTCGAGACTTTGTTATCAGGTGAAAAAAGCAGCAGATTGCTGAGTCATATAGACAATAACTGTAAACCAAACAAAAGCTACCTAACATTGCATATTTTCTGTGGGCAAGCATATTAATGTGTAGAAAAACAGCAAAGGGACAGCACGCTAACTGATGAAGTAGTTTCTTCTGTGGATGGGAAGGGGATAACTGGTGAGACAGAATCCAGATTGAAGAATGGTGGTTAAACAGTATCTCAGTCTAATCTGTAATGTTTCAAAAGAAATTTTTAAGCAATGTGCAAAAATAGCGCAGATTGTTCTATAAAAGAACTGTAATGAAGGGGACTGATTCTACCAGATAGTAAAATGAATTATACATAGTAATGATTTCAGCAATTTAAAATGGCTCTTACCAGAAAGACTGCTTGGTAAAATAGTCTAGAAACAGACCAAAATACATACTAGGACTTAATATAAGATAAAGATGTAATTTCAGACCACTGTGGGAAAAGTGCTGTTGGGATAAATGTCTAGCCATCTGGAGGTAAAAATATGGATCACATATCTCACACTTAGGAAAATAAATTCTAGATGGATAAAGATTTAATGTAAAAGTGAAACCATAAACTAGAGGAGAGCATGGGGAAAATCATCTTGACCCAAAAAGTTATAAAAGGAAGGATTAATAAATTTGACGACAGAAAATTTCAAGGTTGGGAAACCAAACTAAACATTTCTTAATAATGGTTTGATTTGATCAATTAAATAGAATACTGTGCGTCTGTGGGAGAAATGGAGGCAGTTGTGGCTCTGCTGGCATGCAGTAATTGTTGAAACACACAAGAGCAAGACACAAGAAACTGATAGTGGTGGTTGTCTCTGGGTAGGGGCCTTGGGCAGGAAAACTTGTTTTCCTATATGTAAAATACAGAGCTGTAGTATATAGTTCTTTTTGAAATTTTGGCTTCTACACAGTAGTTTTACTATCTAGTTAATGAAGATACTTTAAAAATTATACCAAAGGATTGTTTTAATCAAAACGATCATGTTGAGTGTTACAGGGCCAGGCACTTTGTTAATAAGCACTTTACCTACCCACAGTACTCGGGGATACATGGGTACCATTGTTGATTTCACTGTATTGGTGAAGAATCTGTAGCTTGAAAAGTAATTTATGCATTCAAACTTTGGTATTTTTTTCATTTCATTGCTTTTGCCATGTTGTAGGGTTTTCTGAGAACGGAAATCTACTGCGTTTCTTTTGTAAACTTGGGACAGAGGCATATGTGTTTTTTGTGTTATGTATGTTTTAATCTAAACTGCTAACTGCAATCTTTACACTTCTGTAAACTTTATTTTTCTTTGGCCTTCTCTTTATGGTCTTTCATTATCTTGTTTGTGTTTTCCTTGTTTTTCCAAACTCATCTTCTGCAATTGCCCAACAGAAACTTAGTCCTTTTAAACTGATTTAAAACTTGGTTATAATTTGGGTTTATCCCACCTCTGCATTTTTTGTTTGTCATGTTCCTTGACCTGAATGCCTTCTTGTAGCTTCTCTGTTGAAAACTTACCTATGAGATCTAACTGAAATTCCACTATAAAGACCTCCAGGCCTTTCCAGTCGAATGCAGTTTCTACATGTGCTGTTTATTATGTATAGGACTGTGACTTAATTTTTAGATTATTTAAGTTTTCTTGTAAATTCTTTCAGGGAAATAGTTGACTACTATCTTGCTTGCATTCCTTAAATGTTAAACTATCTGTAAGGATGTTATTTTATGTCTTTCGACGTTTAAAATGATGGATTTGCAGGACAGAATGAATATTAAGATTGAAAATTCTTCCCAAGTGATAAATGTTATGGATAAAGCTTTGCAGTTTAATCTGGACACCTTTTTAAATACTGTAGCCAGACTTTTACTTTTAATTAAAGTCAAAGAATCTCTTTACAAATAGGACAGTTACTAAACTTTAAATTTTACATACTTTCTGATACATGATTTTCTAAAAACCTTTTACCAGCACATCAGGAGATTCTTCTCGGTCAAACCTTTTTGAAGATGCAACAAGTGCACTTGGTAAGTATCCACATTGTAAATAACCTTATGAGAGACAGGGAGAATGTTTAAGTTTCATTTTTCTAGATCATGAAAGTGTGTTCATTTATATTTGCTTATAATCAAGCTGCTAAGTGATTTAGATAATTCAATTAATGTTACTAAAGACTATAAATTAAAATTTTGTTTATTGAATCCTTTAAATTGTACTATTAGAGTTAAGTTACTATTAGACTTTTTTCTTTAAAGCAGATAATTTTCTGTTTTCCAGATGTGGATTTCAAATGAGATATTAACAAAGTTTGATCTGTCTACAGGTTTATTACAGAATATCTTAAAAATGAGTATAAAATGTTCCTAAATCTGTCTCACATTTCATCTTTCTCACCTGTGGCCTTTCAGTTTATAGCCCTATACGTTCCCATCTGCATCTTGTTGCTTATGTTGTGCTTGCATTGAAAATGCCTTTTTATCCTGACTTTTATTTATTTATTTATTTGGGGGGAGATAATTAGGTTTATTTGTTTATTTTTAATGGAGGTGGTGGGGATTGAACCCAGAACCTCATGCATGCTAAGCAGGTACTCTACCGTTGAGCTATATACCCTCCCCCATCCTGACTTTTAATTTCACTTGTTGAAAATGTTTTTTCTACTCC